TCAAAAGCGCAGTACTCCAAACTGCGTATATACATGTACATCGTCATTACCAACAACAGCATACCCAATGTAATCCCACAAGTAGAGTCAGGGGAGAGGGTAGAGTGTATGCAAACCTTACCATAGAACGAAATGAAGAGCAGTACACAACATACAGAAGGAAAGAATAGTAATATGATCGAGCACTACGTACGTTACTCACCAGATCATGGCAGCAGAGGGCATAGCCAATTTCAAGTTAGTAAGGATATGATGAAAATGAAATGGCTCGAAAGAGAAAGCGTAATCCCATTTGATATGTTTGGAGAAAAACATGAATAGACCAAAGATGATGAGTTGAATCCAAATGGAAATAGATGTTGCTAATGATGCTCCTTTAAAACCAAGACCTGTCCAATGAACCAAAGCATAGGCAATAATAGCAATATGTATAACTAAAGATGCCATTGAAAACAAAAGTATAGGGTCTAAAATTGAGTGTGCCCTAAGAAATCTCATGGCATTTTGCAAAAAACCATATCCAAACAATCCAGGTATAAGAAACTTCAAAAACAGTCCTGCTTCTTTCGCAATTTCATGATCCTGATGAAATAAATGAATGAGAATTGTATCTGAATACCACCAGAGAAGAGCTATCGCGGTTGAAAAGAAGAATGATATGACACATGATGTCTGCAGCAAAGTGTACGTTGTTGTTCGGGATTGTCTACATAATGTTTCGACTGCAGTATTTAATCCAAATATGAAAGAGAAACCAGTGATTACAGCCCAGGAAGTAGCGAGATTCGAGGCAGCTAGTTGAAGATTGCCAGCAAACATGACAGAAACAATATTGATGGAATAGAAACTAGTCAATATAACAATCAATGGCGATGAAATCATTGACTGATTCGTTACTTCCTCCATATCTATTATCTTATTAAAACACCCGTTTAACGTACTCAAACACCCCTCCGTTTTTTCGCTGGAGTTAGCCATTGATGAGGCGATACAAAAAGTAAATTACAGCCTTA